AACTTTGTTTTTTTTCTCACCTGGAAATTGGGAACAATGATCATGACAATACTCTTTCTGTTTCTTTGATTGATTTGTGAATTATACAATAAGATAAAATTATACAAAAATGTTCTGAAAACATTGAAGTAACAATTCCAACTTAAAGGCATGTTGTTTACAATTTTTATCAATGGGCTAGCTGATGGCATGGTGGTTAAAATGGCTGGATTCCACATGGCAGACTGAGTGGTTCAAATCCTGGACCCAGTGGCTTGAGAAATATGCTGGGCACATGTATATGCATGCCCCAAATCCCAAGAGCAGAGTGGAGGAGACGGAGCTGCAGTGTGGTCATACTTCTTGGGGGGTCAAACTTTTTACTCTGCCCTTCCTTGATAGTACACACACCCTATAGAAAAAGCCATCACAAAAAAAAAATCAGCTACCACCATTTCCATTCAAATATTACTAATTTAATAAATGTTAAAAGCTCAATAGGCAAGGCTGGTGGGTGGTGTGGTAGTTAAGGCGCTGTGTTTCTTTGTGTCACTCTGGTCAAATTAAAAATTAATAATAATTAATAAATAATTCTAAAAAGAGTTCATTATTTGAGTGTATCTATGTTATTTAATAGGGAGAGAAAATGGCCAAGTTTTAATGACAGACCTGTGATGCAAATCTTTTGTTTGGGAATAATCCATGTTATATTAATAATTATTTACAAGCTAATGTTAATAATAATGTTATGAAAATATAAGGAGAGCCTACGGCGTGGTGGTTAAGGTAGCTGGATTCCACAGGGCCGATTGTGTGGTTTGAGTCCTGTACCTGGTAGCCTGCCATCGGCCATAGTGGGAGTTTTTATGTCACAGAAAATGACAAACTCTACAAATTAGAACTTTCTTTTCTGGAGAGCTGATTTACCAGCATATTACTGGCCTAAACTTAAGCAACTGGAGAGAAGGACATCCGTACTAGAAGGAATGTGGTAATATTCATCATCAGTTGGTTAATGGGGTGGGGTGGAATGTCAATAGGGAGACTCTAATATGATTTATCAAGGTATCAGCTTGGGGCTCAGGTATGGTGGCAGGCACAGTGATAGCATAAACACTAAAAAAAAAAAATCCCTCTCAAAAAATCCCAAAAAACAAGCAAAACTAGTTACTGTAGGAAACTGGTGTCTCTTACCAAGCGAACAAGTTTAAGCTAAGGGAAAGTTAGAGTTTTTTTTTTTTTTTTAGAGGTTTTTGCCATAGGACGTGTGTACTTGCCAGCAAGACAGAGAAAGACAGAGAGACAGAAAGCAAGAAGCCGCCCCCTAGGGGGGGGATGGCCATGCAGCAATCCCTTCTCCTCCATTCTTCTCTTGAGATCTAGGGCACACATGCACATGAGCCGGGTGTGAGTTTAAGCCACCGGGTCCAGGACTTAAACCGCAGTCGACTACATGGGAGTCCAGTGACAATAGCCATTATGCCAACTGCTGGTTAGTGAATTTTGTTCAGGAAATATTGAAATTGAAGTATTGGGGCATGACAGTGAAGATGTCCAGAAGACAGTGATTATAGGGATATGGAACTGAAAGGAGGCTCTGGATTCCACATGAAACATAAGAATCATGAGGATGCCAATTGTTAATTGAGGTCATGGGAGTGGATGAACTTCTAAAGCAAAAGGGACAGAACCTGAAAAAAACTGCTGTAAGTCTTTGTTTTATAAGGTAAACATAAATGAAATTACATGTCTTTTCATTCAAAGACAGTTTGAGTAATTAGGTAGAGTTATGTTTTCTTAGCAAACACAACAGTTGGAATACTATCACTGCAATATAAATGAGTTTTAAGAATGATTGGTATCTACAAAATAAATGTTACGGATTTGACTTATAGGGCCAGCAGGCGGCACAGTGGTTGAAGTGCTGGATTCTCACATGGTCCACCATGGTTTGTGGTCTGAGTCCCATACCTGACGGCTTGCTTCCTCACTGCCCCTGCCACCTCTTTCTGGTGAGCACACATGCTCTATAGCAAGTTAAAAAATAAAAATAATAGATAAAATTAAATAAATAGTTCTTTTAAAAAATAAAGATTTGATCCCTCATCATAAGGGAAATGCAGATAAAAACAACAATGAGGTACCACCTAACCCCAGTCAAAATGTCTAAGATTAAAAAAACAAAAAATGATAAGTGTTGGCCGGGGTGTGGTGAAAGGGGAACTCTTTTACACTGCTGGTGGGAATGTAAATTGGTCCAACCACTGTGGAGAATAATTTGGAGATCTACCATATGATCCAGCAATCCCACTCCTTGGTATCTACCCAAAGGACAGAAGAATTTTTCATTGGAAAAGTGCTTGCACATCGATGTTTATTGTGGCACTATTAACGATTGCAAAGTCATGGAACCAACCCAAATGCCCCCGTTTGGAGGAATGGATTGAAAAACTGTGGCACATATACTCTATGGAATACTACTCAGCCATAAAAATCAACAAAACCCTGGCTTTTGACAGAAAGTGGAAAAATATGGAAGATTTACTGCTGAGTGAGGCAAGCCAGGCTATGAAGGAGAGACATTGTATGTCCCCACTTAACATATACCGAATGTCTGCATTCTATGACTGAAACTGATTGACTAACGGTTCTACAAACATAAGAGATGGGTGTGACTGTCAGATGAGGTGTATGTGGAGGAGTGGGGCCTAACGAAGGACATTCGGAGAAGGGATACGGAGGCAGAACATTGACGGGATGGAGAAGATCGGTTGAAGATATTTTGATCACGGGACTGGGGAGAAATGGTCACATATTGAAATGCTCACATTGTAAGCTAAACAATGTGATTGAATGTACATACAAAAAAAAATACATACTAAAAAAAAGAAAAATTTAGGAAAAAAATAAAGATTTGATTTACCAAATCTCTACAGCAAGGTTTATTAAGATGACTCCTGAAAACAAAAATAAATTTAAATATCAAAAAGAAGTATATCTGGGGAAGCAGATGGCATAGTGCTAAGGTACTGGACTCCCACATGGCCAACAGTGGTTTGAGTCATGGACCTGGCAGCTTGAAAATAACACTGGGCACATGTGTGTGCATGCCCAAAATCCCAGGAGAATGGAGGAGAAGGGATTGTGGCATGGCAAAGCCCCCTGGGGGATGATTTTTCACTTTCCCTCTTACTGTCTCTCTCTGGCAAGTGCATGCGCCCTATGGCAAAAACCTAAAAAAATGTTTAACTTTATAACACCTGAAAGAACAAAAAAATTCTAGAAAAACAGATAAGAAACACATTATTTTAGAAATCACCTTAAACATAATTATAAGGCATTCTATCTTATACTTACTTCTGTCTTAGCATAATTATTGGCTTCTTTGCCTCTGTAACCAGATTTTACAAGGCACTGGGATGCAGTGTCTTTATCTCTAGTGTTTGGGGCTGTGTACATTGCAGGTATATACTCAGAAAAAAGCCTCTGTTTCTTCCATGACAGAATGGGAGGTTTGAATATAAGGCTTGCAAAGTCCCCTTCAAACCTGAGAATCCATAAGAAAAGTAGCAATAACTGCTTACCACTTAAAAGAAGTGGGCTTAATCTACTTCATAATTTCAAAGGTACAATGTTTCCAAGCCACGGGCTAACCAGTATACTGTTAAGAAATTTCTGAGAAGGAAGACAAGTCTCCAGAATTGATTTTGTTTGGGGAAAAATTTGTACTTAAGACCTGGAAGGGTCCTTAGATACCTTTAGGACTTGCTAATCTCTTTCATGTCATTGCCTACAGAGAAAATACTACTCATACACCATCACTCAAAAATTGTCCAACACATTAATCAATATCCTAAGACATGCTTGTCACATATCCTTGGAACTCTGGTTGGGAAAACTCTGGTCTAATTCAATATCTCCATTTGCAGAGGAGGATAGTGAATCTTATTTTTATTTTATTTTATTTTGAAGAGGTTTTTGCTATAGGGGGCGTGCGCGCGCCAGACAGAGAGACAGAAAGCGAGAAATCACCCCCAAGGGGGGATGGCCACGCCGCAATCCCTTCTCCTCCATTCTCCTCTTGGGATCTTGGGCATGCATGCACACGGCCCTGCGTGAGTTTTAAGACACCTGGTCCGGGACGCGAACCGCAGTCAACTACATGGGAGTCCAGCGACAACTACTCATACACCATCACTCAAAAATTGTCCAACACATTAATCAATATCCTAAGACATGCTTGTCACATATCCTTGGAACTCTGGTTGGGAAAACTCTGGTCTAATTCAATATCTCCATTTGCAGAGGAGGATAGTGAATCTTATTTTTATTTTATTTTATTTTGAAGAGGTTTTTGCTATAGGGGGCGTGCGCGCGCCAGACAGAGAGACAGAAAGCGAGAAATCACCCCCAAGGGGGGATGGCCACGCCGCAATCCCTTCTCCTCCATTCTCCTCTTGGGATCTTGGGCATGCATGCACACGGCCCTGCGTGAGTTTTAAGACACCTGGTCCGGGACGCGAACCGCAGTCAACTACATGGGAGTCCAGCGACATAGCCATTATGCTAACTGCTGGTCCCGGATAGTGAATCTTAAGAGGGGATGCAACATTCCCAGGTCAAAACTTTAAATTTAATACTTGGGACTAGAACCGAGACACTTGCAAAGCTTCTTCTCTAACAAGCAGAGTTGGAGGTCAGACCTGAAGACTGCAGTAGATGGGAGGGCAGTCTAAATCTCTGCTTTAAATGCGGCCCTTAGACCACAGGTATTAGAAGGTATACCTTTGGGCAACTGATGAAAAAGTTAAGATTCAGGGACCCACAAAGACCTACGGAATTAGGTTCCGCGGCTGCCCTGGAATCTGCATTTTTGGGTTTGCGGGTCTCCTGCTCTCTCCACAGTGAACTCTGAGCTCCAGCCTAGGTTTGATTTGGGGGCTCCCTGGGCGTCCTGCCCTCGGAGCAGCGCAGGCGCACAGTGCCCCACGTCCTCGCGGAGAGCTCGTCTGTTACGTACGCAGAGCCCACCGGCACTCAAGGGCGGACTCGGCCACTACCCAGTCCGGGTGAGGCCACCGCGGTCTCTCCACCAGCCTCCTGGCCCCGCTGAGGCACCAACTGCGGGGGCAGTCGCGGGGGCAGAGGCGGCTCAGCAGCGCCTCCTTGCGTCCGGCGTTTCCTCTCACCGCCCCGGCGAGGGTCCTCAGTCCCGCCCGCCTTGTACTGACAAGTGCGCCTGCGCCAAGCCTTCCCGGTCCCGCCCCCAGCCTGCCGACCGGATGTGAACTGACTTCCCATAGTGCCTCGCGAGTGGCGGGCATGATAACAAATCCTGGAGGGTCGCACGCGTGTTCGTGTTGGTATTGTTGAGCTGTTCTCTTGTGCCAGGAGGCTCTACGAGATTGAGACGCGGCCGCTGCCTAGTCCGCCAGTGCCATGGCGCTTCTCCGGGGTGTGTGGGGCGCGCTGAGCGCCCTGGGAAAGTCCGGAGCCGAGCTGTGCGCCGGCTGTGGAAGTCGACTGCGCTCACCCTTCAGGTAGGCGCGCGCACCTGCGTCTCGGAGGCCGCTGGGCCCAGCGCGCCCCAGGCCGCAGTGTAGACCCTGTGTGTCCTCCACGTTCTGCCTCTCCGGGGAGGTCCGCGCCACTCTGCCTTTTTGATTCAGACCTCGACCTTGCCAAAGGGACAGTGGCTTTGAGACCAGGCCGTACTGCTTCCTGGGGCCCTTACTTCCTCCTCCCGCCCCTCCCCACTGTCCAGCCTGGGAGCACCTGTTCGGCATCCTGTGAAGTCTCGCCAAGAGTCTCCCGCCACTCTCTAGGTCTTCAGGAGGCGGGGCCCGGGAGCTAGAGTATAGACTGTCCTTCCCTGGGTTAGCACTGGCTTTTGTTACGTTATTAGCATTGTTGTTGAAAGTGTCAGATAGCGTCTTGATGACCCTTTATTCGGGGTCCTTATTTATATACACATGAATGTGGGTCGTTGAATGCCTGACCTTGATTATCTATTTTCCTTTTATTTGTATTTAGTTTCGTGTATGTACCGAAATGGTTTTCATCTACCTTGGCTAGTTATCCAAAGAAACCTATGACTTCGTACCTTCGATTTTCTAAAGAACAGCTACCCATCTTTAAAGCTCAAGACCCAGGTGAGTAGTTTGGAGGCTTGTACTCTTCTCTCATGTAGCAAAAAGGCCATTAAGGAGTTGAATGGTAGACTTCATTTGCACACTGTGTCTAGTGACTAGGAAGAATCTTTTAGTTTGGTGATCTGTGATGTAGGGAGTTAATATAACAAATAGACGTGTTTTAATATAAATGAGAACTAATGAAGGATATTTTTTAAATAGCATGTAGTGTGGAAAGCACTGTGGGAAGAGGATTTAAAAACTGAATTTTGAGCCTAGTTGCCTTTGGTCTATAGGATCATTGATGAATCATTTTATCTCTTGCTTAGCTCCTTCTTTGCAGTTGTTAATAAAGTTGCTGTAAAATAATTTATGTGCATGTGTTCTGTAGAGCTCTCTGCAGAATACTGCTAATTGGAAGAACTTTTTTTAAAATAATTTTTTATTTCATTTTATTTATTCATTTATTTATTTTAATTTGACGAGAGAGAGAGAGAAAGGGAAAGTGAGAAAGCAAGCCACCAGGTGCAGGACTCAAACCGTGGTTGGCCATGTGGGAGTGTCCAGTGCCTTAGTCACCATGCCACCTGCTGGTCCCTTGAAGAGCTTTTTCACTGAAAATTATTTCTTTCTTTAGTTCTTGAAAAAAGATTTCCTGGTAGGATGTATTTTGACTCCTTAGAAAGGTTGTCAGGCCTTCATTTTTAGGTAAAAGAGTAAAGGTAATAGCTAATTAATAATAACTAATCTTGGGCAGCCCATTTTCTGGGATTCCTCCCTTCTTGGGAGATCTGCTTTTCCTTCCCTCTCTGCTTTGCTATACCCACTCTGTGTCTGCATTTCTCACTCTTCCTGAGCAAGGGACAAGAACCTGCCTTTTATCTTCCTGAGTGAGAGACAAGAACCCTTGTCTCATTGTGGGTGCTCGACCTGATCACCCCTCTATCAGAAAGACTGATGGAACATTTTTAGCCTCAGACAGTTTACTGTATGTTCAAGTTGAAGTGTAGTCAGAACTAAATGTTGAAGAAATGGTAAATGACAGAAGCTGGAAGGTGTTTAATGAATGCTGCAGAATTCATTTTAAGCCCCTGAAGAATAAAGAAAGAAAGATACACTTCTTTTTTAGAGAGGTTTTTGCTATAGGGTGTGTGTACTCGCCAGAAAGACAGAGAGAGACAGAGAGACAGAAAGCGAGAAATCACCATGCAGGGAGGATGGCCATGACACAATCCCTTCTTCATTCTCCTCTTGGGATCTTGGGTACGCACATACACATGCCCGGTGTGAGTTTAAGCTACCGGCTCCGGGGACTTGAACCGTGGTCGACTACATGGGAGTCCAGTGACATAGCCATTACGCCTACTGCTGATCCCAGAAACACTTTTTTTAAAAGCACTGGGTCATCTCATAAGAGCTAAGCATGACACACATCAACAAGACAGGCTTCCTCGGATTTCTGAACCAACAGTCCAAGACCTTTTGTTGATTTCAGCCCCACTTAGCCGATATCACAAATATAAATAATTATGATAATTGTGGAGAAATCAGTTGCAATTTTATACTGGTTCTGTTTAAAAAATTTTTTTGTAACTATTAAAATAATTTTCTGAAAAAAAGAAACTACTCTGATTATGATTTCTAAAGCCTTTTCCATTCAGTACATCACAGGGCACGTGTAGAAATCAAATGAGCTACAATAAAAATGTTCACATTCTATAGTAGATAAGAAATTAGTTTAAGAGACATGCTTAAGTACCCTCATCTTCTTTGGTATAAGAATTGGGACTAACAGGTAGTTTGTAAAATCATTGTGTCTTGTTATTCTGTTAAGACAAGAAAGGAAATGGAGAATACTAGACTGATTTTAGGATAGTTCATTTCCTATTGATATTTCTTTAACTGGAATACAAGGTGAGTTATCTAAATCAAGACTACATTTTGTTGCTTAGTCAGATTTTATGAGCTTAATAATCCCTGAAAGGTTTACAAAAAAGTTTTGATTGGAATATGGAAATGAAAAAGGAGACATTTGACAACCAGCTGCTTAAACTATTCCCAATTTCTGACGACAGTTTTTGGTAGTGTGTGATATACTCTTTTGTTATAAGATTATGGACTTTTATCAGTGTTGGATAGAGTTTTAAATTATCATACATAACTTAGCTTTAAGTAAATAAGTTAAATAACTATATTAAGTTATGTGTGGTAGAGTTATTTATAATATATAATATAACTTGCCTTTAGAGCTAATGGACTATGCTTTTTTTGGAAGTCTTAGAAATTAATGCTGAGACATAATCATGACATTCTTTTTTTCATTTTATTCCAATCCATAGATGCAAAAAATTCAGAACTAATTAGGAAAATTGCTGAACTATGGAGAGAACTTCCTGAGTCAGAGAAAAAAGTAAGCATATAAGTTTTCAACACTGACCAATAATTCTACAGTTAGGAAAAGTTGTCATGTCCTTTAAAGAACCACATGGCTCTTTAACGTCTGTTATCTTCAAAGGAACTTTATACCCTTTTTTTTGGAGAGGTTTTTGCTATAGGGTGTGTGCACTTGCCAGAAAAAGAGAGAGAGACAGAAAGTGAGAAATCACCCCCCGGGGGGATGGCCATGCTACAATCCCTTCTCCTCCATTTTCCTCTTGGGATCTTGGGCATGCACACACACACATGTGCTCGGTGTGAGTTTAAGCCACCGGGTCTAGGACTCGAACTGTGGCCGACTACATGGGAGTCCAGCGACATAGCCATTATGCCAGCTGCTGGTCCCTATACCTTCTTTTTTAAAAAAATATTTAACTTTATTCATTCATTAATTCATTTATTTTAATTTGACCAGAGAAAGACAGACACACAGAGAGAAGGAAAGTGAGAAAGCAAGCCACCAGGTCTGGGACTCAAACCATTATTGACCATGTAGGAGTGTCCAGTGCCTTAACCACCATGCCACCTGCTGGCCTAGGAACTTTATACCTTCTGACCCACGTAAATGATGAGAATATGATGTATAAGGATGCTATAAAGGGTTGGCAGCAATTTGAAAAGGGAGGCTCAGGCCAGCCAGTGGTGTGTTTAAAGTGGCTGCATCTCATGTGGCTGACTATGCAGTTTGAGTCCTGAATCCATTGGCTTGAGAAATACTCTGGGCAGGTAAGTATGTGGGCCCAAAATCACAAAAGGAAGGGAAGATGGAGGAGAAGAGGAGATGATCATCTTTCTTCCTCTATCTCTGGCTAGCACATGCTGCACCCTCTAGCAAAATAAAAAAAAAAAAAAAAAAAAGGAAAGAAAAAAACTGGAGGCTAGTCTCTTATCTTGGTTAATCTTGTTTAATATGTGTATGAAAAATACATGTTTTTAATCTATAAATGTCTCATCTTAGACTCATTTTCACCTGTTTGTAGTTGTTTTTCTCTAGCACATGTGCTGTGTTGAATTTGCTGGGACCAGTTTATAGACTTGCCTGCATTTTTTAAAATTTTTAGATATATGAAGATGCTTACAGGGCAGATTGGCAGGCATACAAAGAAGAGATAAACAGAATCCACGAACAGCTAACTCCAAGTCAAGTGTTATCTTTGGAAAAAGAAATCATGCAAAAACGTTTGAAAAAGAAAGCATTAATTAAAAAAAGAGTGAGTATCATTGAAATGTTCTTTTCCTATGGCAAAAAACTAAAATTTTTATAACTATGAATGTAGGTAGTATTTCCTTATTTTGATGATAATGTGCATATATGATGTGGTCGAATTTCATCAGGTACACACAGGTAAAAATGAGATCGTTTTGGCCCAGTTGTGGTGGTGCTCCCTGCTAAGATGTCATGCTCCACAGGCTGAGAACATATGGGAGCCTGGGTTCAAAATCTGGTCCAACCTGAAGGGTAGGCACGGTGGCATGCTCCTGTAACCCCTGCTACTTGAAGAGACTGAGGCAAGAAGATCTCAAGCTCCAGATAACTTAACAACATAGCAAGACTCAGAAGAAAGAGCTGGGTGTGGTGGTACATGCCTGTAGTCCCAGGTGGGAGGCCAAGGCAGCAGAATTGCAATATAGCAAACCCTGATTTTTTTTTTTTAAAGCAGAACATAGTTTTTATGTCATTAGGACTTCTTGTCTTTGAGTTTGATTTGGAGGTACTCATTGCTACATTGAGATGTATCCAAATTTAAGATACATAGTCAGTAGGACTTTATGAAAGCTAAGGAAATATGAAAAAGCCAAACCAGGAGTAGGAAGAATCTTGCATCTGAGTCTTGGAATAACTTACTAATTGTAATTATTTTATAGGTAATGGTGATTTGTTGTTGTTGTTTTTTTACTTTCTAGGGGTAGTGGTGAATTTGATAAATATGTAGAATGGATTTATTCATTAACACATCAGAGAAAAGTGTCCATCTATCTAGTCATGTAAGAAATACTGTTAGAACTCAGTTTTTCTTCAAAGAAGCTATTACAAAGTGCACATGGTTAAAAATGTGTGGTTCCAGGCTTGAAGTGTTAATCTGTGGGAATGCTACTTTTTGAAAGTTAGACTTTTTTGTTTTGTTTTGTTGTTACTAGGACCCGTATTAGGTGTTGGCGGATAATATACTGGTCCAGTACATATACAGTACTACTGGAAAATGGTCATCAGAGTTAAAACTTTGAAAGAGTAGATTTCAGTCTACTTGAATGTCAGATGCCAAGATATCACTGCCTGACCCTAATGTTTTTTTTTCTGTATCAATTATTTTTAAAATTTAAAAATTTACTTTTAATATTATTATTTATACATTCCATCACTATACATCATTTAGATTGTAAAGAGATTTTACCCAGCATGATATACACCTCAGTCCAGCCCAGTTGGGAATACTGTACACATCCTCATCAACAGATAATAAACCATATCTGTGTCCCACAAATGTCTTACTCTAATTTTCCCCCCCACATTTCCTTCCCTAATGTTTTAAGCAGTTAGCTCTAAGGTTCAATTCAATGATGGTAAATTAGGGCTGCTGATTCAGTGAGTAAAAGGGAGGCAAGGAAATGCTAAGAGAAGTAGCCTGCCTAGGGGTGGTATTTGGAAGAGTGATAAGTGATGCATACTCCCTCCTTCACTCTCCCCTCCTCAATGCACTCAACCTGGGCTAAGAGGGGAGGGGAAGTGAGGATTGGGCAGATATCGTAAGTTTTCATCTTCATTCTCACTCCCTTTAGAATTACTCTTCCCATTAAAGACTCTCAGAAATTAGGTGAGATGTGTAGGGACCAGAGAGTTGGAAATGAAGCAGTTAGAAGAGAAACCTCTAGCAGTAACTTTAGAAACCAAGCAGAAAGTGGTTAAGTTGTAAAGCGCCTAGTCTACAGTAGTTTCTGTTCTAAGTGACTGAGAGACTGAAGAAGATGGAGGTAATCGCTAGATGTAAATCAGAGGAGCCCTACCTTTATGAATAAAAGTTGAATTTATTATCAATTATGACCGTATTGTCATTAAGAGCCTCAGAATATTATCATTTACAAGTAACTACTCCCTGTCCAAAATAGAAAATAAGTAGGATAATGCACTTTACCTCACCCTCTGAACTCAGGAATAAAATTGATTTCTGGATAGCAAGGGTTACTTGTATCTTTTCCATAGTCTCTTCTTCCCTTTGGTACTTATCATAAAGAACTGATAATGGCACCTATTGAGTTTTAAAAATTGAGAGACATTCAGGGAATTAAATGAGATGAGAGATTATTTTATTTTATTATTTTTTTAAATACATACACTTTTATTCAAACTGACATAGCAGTGTTTTTTTCTTTTTTTCTTGAGAGGTTTTCACTATAGGGCGTGTGCGCTCGCCAGACAGAGAGAGACAGAGAGACAGAAAGCGGGAAATCACCCCCCTCAGGGGGGATGGTCACGCCACAATCCCTTCTCCTCCATTTTCCTCTTGGGATCTTGGGCACGCGCACACACACACGCCCGGAGTGAGTTTTAAGCCACCAGGTCTGGGACGCGAACCGTGGTCGACTATGGGGGAGTCCAGCGACATAGCCATTACCCTAACTGCTGGTTCCCAGATGAGAGATTATTAAGCAGAGAAGTCCAGTGTTTATGAGTCGTGGTGGAAGTGTGTAGCGGTTTGGCTAAGAGAGTAGTGTTCTGTAAGAATAAAACTGGGATTGGTTTATCTTTTGAAAAAGTTTTTTTTTTGATATATGTGTTCAGTTATTCAATTCATGGAGACAATGAAAATCATATGTAAAGGAAATATTTTTATATGGAAAATAATTCATGAAACCTATTGCAGTTTTCAAAACCTAAGTGGTATCAAAAATTCTGACCCCAAGGTATAATAATCACATGCTCTATATAGGAATCATAACATTAACTTCAAGGAAGGTTCTGTAATACATAGTAGTGAATAAAGTTTATATAGGTAAAAGTAAGTCTCATGGAGAGTGAAACTGTCTGACCCTTCTGTTTTTGGTATTCAGGAGTTAACAATGCTTGGAAAGCCAAAAAGACCTCGCTCAGCTTATAACATTTTTGTATCTGAAAGCTTCCAAGAAGCTAAGGATGCTTCATCACAGGTAAAACAGAATTATATTTATTTACCAGGCTTTTGTTTATTTAAATTAAAAAAAAATTTAGAAAATTCTAGGGATGTTACTTGTCAGATGTTGAAGAAAAGTAGTGAATTACAGAAATTGAACTCTTGATAAAGCCCCTTCTTTATTGGATCGCTTTTCAAGAAATTCTCTTACTATATACAATTAAATATGTAGTCATTTACAGATATATATGTCAGTTTTTTTAATTTAAAAATGTGAAAATTTCAAATTCATAGGAAGTTAAAGTTCCGCTGACTTTTCTAATCTAGCATTTGTTAACTGTTTGATAGTCACTAGAAAGAATGGGATATACACAATATTTTATACTGGGAATTGAGTTTAACCTATTGCTTTGTGTTGTATTCCTTACTAAAATTTCGATTATGCCCACAGAAATGTGGATGTCATCATATGAATGTGTCAAAAGAGAAAAAAGCTTGTCAGTCACTGCTGTGTGTGTATGGCTTAATCTTTTTTTTTTTTTTCAAGAGAGATTTTTGTTGTCGGGTGTATCCACTTGCACAGAAACAGAAAGCAAGAAAGCACCCCGCTAGGGGGATGGCCATGCTGCAATCCCTTTTCCTTTATTCTTCTCTTGGGATCTTGGACACAAATGCTCATGTACCCTGTGTGAGTTTTAAGTTGCTGGATCTGGGACGCAAATCATGGTTGACTACGTGAGAGTCTAGCCACGTAGTCATTACGCCATCTGCTGCTCCCCTTTTTTCCTTTTTAGAATCTCTCAGTGAGCAATTATATTCTTTTTTATTTTTAAAGAATTATTTATTCAACTTTATTCATTCATTCATTCATTTTAATTTGACTAGAGAGAGAGAAAAAAAATGAGAAAGCAAGCCACCAGGTCCAGGGTTTGAACAATGATCAGCCATGTGGTAGTATCCAATGCCTTAGCCACCATGTCACCTGCTGGTCCCCAAGCAGTTATGTTCTTTCTTATATGATACAACATGATAAAAGAAGTGACTGTTCATATCCCTAACCCTTGTCAATCTGAGATGACGTTTTTGGCACTCCGCCTCTTTGGGATTATTTGGATATATAGTTCATTTCACAAATCCTGTTTACCATAAGATTAAATAATGTCATGTGTGACTAGCTTTCACTTAGTTACTCCACTTGGAATTTTGAATTCAATTTCTGTGACTCTGCATTTCTAAAATGCAAGACTTAATTTTTTTAGTTGGAATTTTCTGTCACTAATTTACCTTGGATTTAGACTTTTCTTCAGTAGAGAAAGGTTATGTGCTAAAGAATCCTAAATCAGTGTCTCTCAGCTCTGATTTTACCCTGAAATTACCTTGGAAACTTAATGGCTGAGTCCTGTTTCTTTGCTATATAGTTTTTATTTAAAAATATTGGTTATGTGGGACCAACAGGTGGCTGGTGGTTAAGAGTGCTGGACTCCTACACGGCTGACCATTGTTTGAGTCCGGGACCTAGCAGCTTGCTTGCTCACTCTCGCACGTGCGCTCTCTCTCTCTCGCTCTCTCTCTCTCCCTCCCCACTCCCTCTCTATCAACCACTCTCTGTCCCTCTCTGGTAAAATTAAAATCAATCAGTCAATAAAATAAATAAAGTTCAATAAAATAATTCTTTGAAAAATATTGGTTATGCATCCTCTTAGCTTAAAGAATCAGAATAATTCTTTATCTTTCTTCATGTAAAATAGCAATTTTTATTGCACTGTTTTATTCCTTACTTCAGAAACACATTCCATTGTTTTAGCTGATTCTTAAGGCATTTACCTCTCTATTTCTTTTTTTTTTATTGAGAGGTTTTTCACTATAGGGCGCGTGCGCTCGCCAGACAGAGAGAGACAGACAGAAAGTGAGAAATCACCCCCCAGAGGGGATGACCACGCTGTAGTCCCTTCTCCTCCATTCTCCTCTCAGGATCTTGGGCACGCACGCACACGCGCCTGGCGTGAGTTTTAAGCCACCGGGTCTAGGACATGAAACCGTGGTTGACTACGTGGGAGTCCAGCGACATAGCCATTATGCTAACTGCTGGTTCCTTCTATTCTTTTTTTTAAGAATTATTTTATTTTACTTTATTTATCCACTTATTTATTTATTTTAATTTGACTAGAGAGGGATGGGGTGGGGGGGAGAGAAAGTGAGAAAGCAAGCCGCCAGGTCTGGAACTAGAACCGCAGTTGGCCATGTGGGGAGTCCAGTGTCCTTAACTACCACTCCACCTGGTGACCCCTTTACCTCTCTACTTCTAAATAGCATCTTTTATTGTTGCTTCTTGATTTTTTTCTTTTAATTTTAAGCTTTATTTTTTTTTTAAGAATTATTTTGTTTAACTTTTACTTATTTTAACTTGACCAGAGAGGACAGAGAGAGAAAGTGAGAAAGCAAGCCACCGCCAGGTCCAGGACTCAAACAGTGGTCGGCCATGTGGGAGTCCCACGCCATTAACCAGCATACCACCTGCTGGCCTCAAGCATCTTTTTTTTTTTAATTGCCATAGGGTACTTGTGCTCATCAGAGAGACAGAGACAGTGAGGGAGAAAGCATCCCGCCAATGAGGCGTGGTCACCCTGCAGTCTCTTAATATCACTTCTTCATCTATTTGGGATTTGGGATACTCATGCATGCTCCTGCCATGTTTTTTAAACTATTGGGGTCAGGATTCAAACTGCAGTTGGCCTTGTAGGATCCAGCTCTCTCTCTTTTTTTTTTTTGGAGAGGTTTTTATTTTTTTATTTTTTTGCTAGAGAGCGCATGTGCTCGCCAGAGAGAGAGAGACAGAAAGCGAGAAATCACCCCCCAGGGGGGATGGCCACTCCGCAGTCCCTTCTCCTCCATTCTCCTCTCGGGATCTTAGGCACACACGCACATGCACCTGGCGTGAGTTTTAAGCCACCAGGTCCAGAACTCGAACCGCAGTCGATTACATGGGAGTCCAGCAACATAGCCATTACGCTAACTGCTGGTTCCTCCAGCTCTCTTAACTACCAGGCTGCAAGACCAGCAGCCCAGCATTCTATGTCTCACATGCTAAACAATACATCCCATTATTTCCCCCAAGAATTATTTATTTCATTAATTGTAGTTATTTAATTTGCTGTAGTCATCAGAGAGAAAGAATGAGAGAGGAAACAAGCTTCCAGGTCCAGGACTTGAACTGTGGTTGGTTATGTGGGATCCAGTGCCTCACACACCACGACACTTGTTGACCGCTACCTCTCACTTTTCCCAATGAAGATTTAATTCTCCTTCTACTGTTCACATGGTTCCAGCCCTCTGTATAGTTCCAGCTCTCTCTATATAGGTTCATAATTTTGGTTAGATCAATAACAAGAACTTAAATTGTGATTATATAAACACAGTTCATGGCTGAACTGTGCTATATACTGGGAGTATTTTTACAAAACTTATTTTCCTTGAAGTTGATTGTCTTAGATTTTCTGTTTGCTTAGTTTTTGTTTCTTTTTTTTTTTGTATTTAACAATCAACTCTAAATTTAATAATTAACCAATTTTTAGTACATTCAGATGTATTTGCTGTCCTGTCAGTTTCAATATGAAGTCTCTGTTTTGTTCCAGTTTGGCTCTTGCCTTCCGTGCCTGCTTTGTAGCTAACATCCTGGGCTTTTCTTCATCATCATCCTTGTGAGGCTTTGTTCCTCTTCTTGTTCCCCTTTTATTTCTTGGTTTACTCTGATGCTGGTGTAGCACCTTCCCCGCTAAGAGTGTATGGGAGGGTACTAGAAGGTGGTGTGGTAGTTAAGGCACTGAACTTCCACATGGTTGACCGTGATTTGAGTCCCAGACCTGGCGGCTTTAAAATCATGGTGTGTTTCTGTGTAAGCCCAGGATCCCAGAAAGAGAATGAAGAAGAGATTGCTGCATGGCCACCCCACCTAGGGGGTGATTTCTCATGTTTCCCCTCTCTCCGCGGCAAGCACATATGCCCTATGGTGGAAAACTAAAAAAAAAAAGTGCACAGGAGATTGATTTTTGGAGTTTACATGTCTAAAAATGTCTTTACCATCACATTTGTTTGTAAGACTGGGAATAGAATTCTAGGTTAGAAATCAGGTTTCTCCAAAATTTATGAAAAATATTGTTCCTTTCATTTCTAATTTATTGTGTTACTTTGAGAAATAGAAAACTATTTCAGTTGTTGGTCTTTTGAGTATCACATGGCTAGATTTTTCTTCTTTTTTGTTCTGTCTTTAGAACACCTATTATCTTGTAAGTTCATAAGATCCATATATAAATACTGATGTTCATTTACTAGTCTAAACTTTACTGTATTCCTTTAGCCTCTTTTTTTTTTTTTGTCTTTTTTTTCCTGAGATACTGCATATATTTTCACTTAATCTCTATTTTTAGCATGGTGCCATTACCCTCAACTATACCTGGTTTTTGCAGAGTAACTCTGTTTTAATCTCTTGAGTAAATGTCCTAGAATCTGCCACTGTGGGAATTTAAACTTACTTTTAAACAATTTTTCAAACAGTCCTCCTGTCTTTAGCTCCCCTTCACCTCTGTTGTATACCAAGCTGGTACTTGCACTTCTTTCACTGTTTGGGAAATCTGCATTGTAAATCAAGGTGCTTTCAGATTTCCCCAGGGCAGAATTGGCTATTTTGAGTCACTTAAGTCAGCTGCCACTTCTCCACATGCTTCTCAGTTTCCCAAATTTTGTGTTGTTAATACATTCTTTTGTTGTCTTTTTCTATGTGACTTTATCCCTTAAAGCTTTTTTATTTGTTCACTTAGCAGAGTTTTAGAAGAAAGAGCAAAAGTAAACATTTTTCTCTTTTACTAATTCTTTTTTTTATTCCATTAATTCTATAGATGAAGAACCAAGCCTAAGTTATGTAAAATAACTTTGTAGTCACATTAGAAAGTGAAGCTGAGTAGAATCAAGGACTTACTTATGTTGTATTACTCTGGGTTTTTTTTTTTTTTTTTGGTTGGTATAGGGTGTGTGCACTCACGTGAGAAAGACAGAAAGGAGAAATTGGAAGTGAGAAACCACCACCCCAGGGAAATGGCCACGCCACAGTACTTTCTTCTCCATTCTCCTCTTGGGATTTTGGGTACAGGTGCACGTATGTCTGCCATTTTTTCAAACCGGCAGTCCCAGAACTCCAGGCAATTGGTGCTGGGATCCAGCATCTTAACCATCACGTCACATGCTACCCTCATGTTGTACTGTTCTGTGACTTAACCTAAGCACTCATGCACAGGTTTTTATTTTTATTTTTTTAAAGAATTATTTAATTTTATTTATTCATTTATCTTTGATTTGACAGAGAGAAACACAGAGAGAAAGAGAAAGGGGAAGTGAGAAAGCAAACCACCAGGTCCAGGACTCGAACCGTGGTCTGCCTGCCATGTGGTCTGCCACCACGCCACCTGCTGGTCCCACACAGGTTTTTAAATAAAACAAAACTATAGGAAAGAATTCCAAATAATCTTTGAAGTTAGTCTATGATAGAATGTGTTGGGTTGTCAAGAAAGTCATGACCTATTTTTCTGTCTTTTCTGTGCAAAAATGGTCATGGCTTTCCTAATGACTCAGTAGATTACACCTGAATATTAATATTGAATCAAAAAAGAGAATACTTTAATTCAGTTCATTATTATTATTACTATTTTAATTGTGACAGGACTTGTACACTCACCAGAGAGGGAGAGAGGTAGAGGGAGAAAGCATCTCCCAATGGGACATGGTCAGGCCACAGTCCCTTCTCTTCCTTCTTTCCATTCTGGGGCTTTGGGCATGCACATACACATGCCAAGTGTGTTTTTAGCATCTGAGGCTGGGGTTCAAACTGGTTCTGGGATCCTGTTCCCTTAACTACTAGTGGTGGGGATTAATACCATTCAAGACATTTGTATAAATTTTAACAGTTTAATGTTTATGTTTAGAAAGAAAAGATGTTAAGATTAGATGATGTTTGCCTGTAATTTTTGATACTGCGTTTTTGTTGTTGGAATAAATAAAATAAAGATCTTCTTTAATTACTGAAGTCTCTCTATTTGCTACCAAAAAACAAATGTTTTACAGGCAAAGCTGAAGACTGTAAATGAAACCTGGAAAAATCTGTCCAGTTCTCAAAAGCAAGTAAGTATTACAGTTTCTAACCTCAAATTGTCAGTTAGAATATCTGTAAGAGAATATATTAGGATAAGACTTATTTCATGTGAGAGCAGTCTTACGTTACTAATAGCACTAACAGCACAAAATATTTAAAAATTATTTTTATAGTCTTAGAACTAATTTGTCTTTTCTCAGTTTTTTTATGCAAATGATTTTCACATTTAAGACACTGTCACTCAAACTTAGAATGTCCACTTTATTGAGAGACAGTCTTAACCTGATTTTACAGCTTCCTAAGTCCAGATATTGTGATAAATTCATTAATTCTTTAAAAATCATAAACTTTTGGGAACCAGCAGTTAGCGTAATGGCTATGTCACTGGACTCCCACGTAGTCGACCGCGGTTCTTGTCCCGAACCCGGTGGCTTAAAACTCACGCCAGGCGTGTGTGAGTGCGTGCACAAGATCCCGAGAGGAGAATGGAGGAGAAGGGATTGCGGCGTGACCATCCCCCCTGGGGGGTGGTTTCTCGCTTTCTGTCTCTGTCTCTGTCTGTCTGGCGAGTACACGCGCCCTATAGCAAAAATCTCTCCCCCCCCAAAAAAAAGTCATAAACTTTTGGGACCAGCAGTTGGCGTAATGGCTATGTTGCTGGGCTCCCATGTAGTTGACTGTGGTTTGAGTCCCGGACCCAGTGGCTTAAACTCACAGCATTGGGTGCACGTGAGTGAATGCCCAAGAACCCGAGAGGAGAATGGAGGAGAAGGGATTGCGGCATGGCCACCCCCCCGGGGGGTGATTTCTCACTTTCTGTCTCTCTCTCTTTCTAACAAGCGCACGTGCCCTATAGCAAAAACCTCTCAAAAATTAAAAAATGGTAAACTTTTAGCCTTTTCTTCATCTAAGGTTTATCTCGCAAAACATTCCTTCTCTAGACTCTCTTTAAATATATAGGATAGAAAGATAATTTCTAAGGTATATGTGGAGGCATTCCAGAAATTAATTGCTCTTTTCTAAATAAATAATTTTAACACTCATTCTTTTTTCTCAGGTATATATTCAACTTGCTAAAGATGATAAAATTCGTTATGATAATGAAATGAAATCTTGGGAAGAACAAATGATTGAAGTTGGACGAAATGATCTTATACGTCGCAGAATGAAGCAGCAAACAAAAAAAGGCAGTGAGAAGTCTTAAAGTAGAAGATTGAATTGTGATCATGATGGATAGGCACAGGAAACCATTTAGGTCTCAATACCTGAAGATATTGTAAAATTAGAAAGGATAAAGTTGGTAAACATTTTATATTCAATTCCTTTTTCTTTATCCCATGGACTTATGCCAATTTAATACATTTTGTATTAGTATTGCTTTGGAAAACCCAAACAGCAGGTAAAAGTTCATGTGAAATTTATTTTATGTTTAGGAGCTACTGAGGATCAAAACAGTTTGTGCAAATGTAGCAGTGAACCATTTTACCTTTGATAAAGGTCAACCAGACTGTGAAAGTTTTTGGATGATGACTAGGAAAAGAGTATTCTTGTCTCCTTATATTATGGAGGCAAGAGTTTCCTTTTCAAAATTATCACAAATTGTAGAAGCCACAGTGTTCTATGGTCTAATTGTACATTTCTTTTTTCTTTTTTTTTTTAAAGCAACCAGAATTCATCTAGGTAAATTCCAATTCCTAGATGTAATTCATATTATATTCAGAGTTGATGGTCATACATACAAATTATTGCTGGTTTCAGTTACAACTTTTTATAAAAGGGACTGACACATGTATAAACCTTTTTCTCATTGTCTTTTTCTTTTTCCTAAAGACTAAGAAATTATGTACTAAATCTATGCATATTGTTTTATATTGCATAGAATAAAAATTAATTTTAATTTTACATGTTTCTGAATTCTGTGTTTTTAAATGAAACAGTTGTTTTACAGCTTTCTTTTTAAAGTAGGGAATCGTAATTATTTTTTTTCTTCTATGAACTTTTATTTCCTCTCTTATGTGAATATATATATAGTTTTTTTTTTTTTAAGAGGTTTTTGCAATGTGAATATATTTATCCAGAGGGAAAAAAGCTTATGTAACTAACTTTTTTAAAAATTTTTTTTTCCCGTAAGACACATGCACTCACTGGAGAGAGGATAGTGAGAGGGAAAGTGAGAAATCACCTCCTAGTGGAGATGACAGTGCAGTCATTTCTGTATTCTTCTCCTGAGATTTTGGGTGCACACACATGCATCCAGCATGATTTTCAAGCCACCAGGTCTAGGACTCAGACCATGATCAACCATGTGGGAGTCTAGCACTGGCCCCATGATACAACTTTTTAAATGAGAAGTTTAAAAACCTGAAGTCTCGGGGCCAGCAGGTGGTGTGGTGATTAGAGTGTTGGACTCCCATGTGGCCGACTGTAGTTTAAGTCCTTTGCTTTCTCATTCTACCCTTACCCTCCTCTCTCTGTCGCTCTCTGATGACTGTAGCAAGTTAAAAACAAACAAGCAAGCAAATAAAGAAATAATTTTTTAAAAAGAAAGAAAAAGCAGAAACCAGAAGTCTCTAAGAGTCTCTGGATTTGAAATATTTTGTGTAACATGTAAAAACCTGTCTAAGAGATAACCAGCTATGGTCTGTGGGGCCAATCTAGCCTACTGCCTGCTTTTTTTTTTTTTTTTTAAAGAATTATTTTATTTAACTTATACACTTTTTAATTTTAATTTGACCAGAGAAGAGAGAGTGAGAAAGTGAGCCACCAGGTTCAGGACTTGAACTTTAGTCACCCATGTGGGAATTCAGCACCTTTAACCACCACGCCATCTGCTGGCCCACCTATTGCCTGCTTTTGAGCTAAAAATTGTGTTTGCAATTAAAATTTTTTTTTTAAGAATTAGTTACTATAGGGAACCAGCAGTTAGCGTAATGGCTATGTCGCTGGACTCCCAGGTAGTCGACCGCAGTTCACGTCCCGGACCCGGTGGCTTAAAACTCATGCCAGGCGCGTGTGTGTGCGTGCCCAAGATCCCGAGAGGAGAATGGAGGAGAAGGGATTGCGGCGTGACCATCCCCCCTGGGGGGTGATTTCTCGCTTTCTGTCTCTATGTCTCTCTCTGTCTGTCTGGCGAGCGCACGCGCCCTACAAAAAAAAAAAAAAAAGAATTAGTTACTATTATTTTTATTTGACCAGAGAGAGAGAGAGAGAGAGAAAGGGAAAGTGAGAAAGCAAGCCACCGTATCCGGACTCAAACTTCGGTTGGCTATTTGGGAGTCCAGCAGCTTAACCACCATGCCACCTACCGGTCCCTTAAATGGTTTTTAAAAAAGACTTATGGGGGACCAGCAGTTAGCATGATAGTTATGTTGCTGGACTCCCATGTAGTCGACTGTGGTTTGAGTCCCGGACCCAGTGGCTTAAACTCATGCCGGGCACATGTGCGTGTGTGCCCAAGATCCCGAGAGGAGAATGCAGGAGAAGGGATTGGGCGTGGCCATCCCCTCTAGGGGATGATTTCTCACTTTCTATCTCTCTGTCTGTCTCTGTCTTTCTGGCAAGTGCATGCGCCCAATTAAAAAAATCTCTCCATAAAAAGAAAAAAAGAAAAAAGACTTATGGTACATGAAAATTAATTTGAAATTCAGTGTTCATAAATAGAGTTTTATGGGAGCACAGTCATGCCAGTTCTTGACTGGCTGCTGTTGTGCTATGATAGAGTGGAGTAGTTATTTCAGAGACTGTATCCTGCAAAGCCTAAAACGTGCTAGCTGACCCTTTACAGAAGGTGTTTGACAACCCACAGCTTTATAGTATAGTGTGGTATGACTACTGTTTCAATGTGTTCATGTATTGGAATGGTTTTTCCAATTGTTTCAGATATTCTTGTATAGAATCATTGTTGAACTTTGTCTTAAAAAGAATAAAGTTGGGGCTGGTAGGTGGCGTGGTGGTTGGGCAGCACTAGACTCCTGCATGACCAACTGCAGTTTGGATCCTGAGTCTTGGCAGATTGCTTTCTCACTTTCTTTTTCTCTCTTTGTCCCTCTCTGGTTAAATTAAAAATAAATAAACAAAGGTAAATGAAATAATTCCTAAAAACAATAAAAAGAATAAAGTTGTTAGTACATAAGTGAAGCAAATTGTTGCTTCTCAGTGTTAGCAAGGAAAATAATCTTTAGTTTCAAGTTATTTTGCAGTATAATGAAAAAGATCCAGACAGTATGGAGTGAAATTTTCTTGTTATTTGCTATGGCTTGGTAAAATGTCCCATTAAGTTTTACAGCTAACACATCAGAAAAGCCTCACTGTAGTAAAGAGTCATCATTTTTTAACATTCATTTATCCCCTCAGAAGAGTCAAACAGGGCCATCATGTAGCCTAGGAGTTAAGGAAACTTCATCCCACATGACTGATGCGGTATGAATCATAATCCTGGCATGCCATGCCAGCTGCATGTATGCATGTGACCCCGATCCGTACAGAATGGAGAAATGGAGGAGAAAGAATTGTGTCACCATGCCCTCATTGGAGGGTTCTTTCTCTGTGTCTGTCTGTCTCGGCTAGTGCATGCTAGCAATTAAAAAATCAAAGGTTTTCAAGATCCATACAACATGTTTGAGCCGAATAATCTATCTTTCATCATCAGGTCACAAATATGGGTAACACAGAATTTATATATATTTTATGTGTGATATAAGATATTTAGAAATTTTAGTCTGTACGTCTCCAGAAAGACTTTGGAGATTTTCTTTGTATATAGATGGAGAATAAGTAAAAAGTCACACTAAGTCTACTTGTTATGTACTGATCTTGACATAGGTAGAACTGAGGAGAAAAGTAGTTTAAGAGGAAACAAGAGGAAATAAGAGTGCGATCAGCAGATAGCATAATGGTTACATTGTTGGACTCCCACATAGTTGACCATGGTTCGAGTTCTGGATCTAGACTTAAAACTCACACTGGATGTGTGTGTGTGTGTGTGTGTGTGTGTGTGTGCGCCCAAGATCCTGAGAAGAGAGTGGAGGAGAAGGGATTGCATGTGCCTGTGTACTCAAGATCCTGAGAGGAAAGTGGAGGAGAAGGGATTGCAGCATGGCCATCTCCCTGGGGGGTGATTTCTTGTTTTCTACCTTTCTGTCTCTCCGGTGAGCACACACACCCTATAGCAAGAAGACTCTCTTTAAAAAAAAAAAAAGAGGAAACAAGATTTAAGTATATAAAGTTGGGTATGAATACAAAGTCTGGTATTAGTAAAATAGATAACTTGGGTTTAAGGCCAAAGTAGTTTGAGGGAAGGGGAAGAGTAGAAGAGGTATCCAAGTGTCTGTCAGTCTTTCTCAATTAGGTTTCCAGAAGATTTTTAAGCCATAATTCCCCATGGTATCTAGAATGGTGCTAGTTATGTACCACCCCTAGAAGAGTGGGGAAAATCATTTATCTTTGTTTTATGTGTCAGATGAGTTCAGGGAGCAGGTAGGAGTCAGTGTTCATGATGATAATTGTGGGAGTGAGACAAGTGAGTTGTGTAAAAATCTACAGGATAAATAAAGCACTAAAAAGATCTTTGCAGTTACTCATAGAGAAATTTCCTTTCAGTTTTTTAATCATTTACCTGTATTTATACTTATATTCTAATCACACCTTTCCAAATTAGTGGGAAGTTCAGTGTTTGGTAGGTTCTTAAGTACTTAGAACTTAATAGAGGAAAAAAAGATAAATAGTTGAAAGAGCTAGAGCAAAACCATTTTTTGATAATACCAGGTTTTATTTGGTTTTCTTTTTCTAAAAGAATGTCTTTGCTAATACTTGGACTAATGGTGTAATTGATTCTAAGTCTTTTGTAATAAACTTTGGTACATGTGGAAGACTAGCTAGCATGCTATATACCAAATGCTATCCAGTTATAATGATATACACATATCTCTTGATGTTATAGAGAATAAGAATTCAACATCAGTAACCAGTGGACATACACAAAGCCTTATTTTTTTAGACTTTTCTTCTACTTGACCCTAGTTGCTGTAAGAGCTAAAGATGATATTAGAAGGGAAGATGTTGAAGAAATGAAATAAAGCAGGATGTAAGCTGTAATGAGTCTTGCACGGATTTTCATACTTCAGTATGTTGGAGTACCAGTGTTAGTTTTTTTGAAACAAGTTGATGAAAAGAGGATTTTGTGTTTTTTTTACTTTCTGGTACTCACATGAAGAATACTGTGGATTGGGCCGGCAGATGGCATGGTGATTAAGGCACTAGATCCCACATGGCCAACTCTGTGGTTTGAGTCCCAGACCCAGCAGCCTAAAAATCACCCCAGTTGAATATGTGTGTGTTTGTCTAAAATCCTGAGAGGAGAGTGGAGAAGAGGGGGTTGTGGTGTGGCCATCTTTCCTGGAGAGTGATTCTCTCTCTGGCAAGCACATATGCCTTATGGGGGAAAAAAAATCTGGAAAAAAAATATACACACACACCACATACTATGTACAAATTTAGCCTACTCTAGTCATTTAAATTTGATATTGCTTTGATTAACTTCCTTTTCGCAAGTGTCATTTTTTGAAAAATAAGGCACATAGTATTTTTTCTAGTTTTGAATGTGAATATTTTTATTTATTTTTAGGGTGATATTACTGCATAAGTGGATTTAAAATAGCTAGAAAACTTTACTGATTTTTTCTGACACTGTACCTAAAGTTTACCACCACCAGGTTGTCTAAAATAGCAGGAAGTATTTGTATTGTTTACTGACTATATCCATTATATTATTTCTTTTAATTTT